CAGGGTGTGTGCCCTGACAATGACCCTGACAGTTGGTGGTCATAGCATTGCAGGCAGGCACAGCTGGTACCATGCAAACAAGCCAATTATCACAATTCTACAAGCACCCCACTCCCAAAACACATTGAAAACAGTCCCAGATACCATTCCCATGTTTTTTCCAATTTTTCCAAGCCCTTCCTGACCATGCACAACCATCAGTTTCCAAATCAGGCAACTGTCACCCATGTATTCTGCCATTTTCTCCATATCTCCATCAATTCTCCACCAATCTGGACGAATTTAGTACCGTTGGAAAGCCCTTGTCAACACAACTCGAACGATGTCACGAGTGACGCATTTGGTTCGGCGGTTGAAGCGATCGCTATGGTTCTTTATTTCCTCAACAACATTAATATTGCTTTGATATTGTCTTTTTCTTGTTTGTTCCTTGTGTATCTGTTGCCTTCCTAAACCTGTCGGATCATTCAGATTTCCATGCATATTTCTTTCATATTTATAGCTACCTCTTTCCTGAATTTACAAAAAAGGACTCCCCCAAAGGAGAGAGGTGCTCCCCAAACAAACATGAAGTTCTAGCAGACATTACCAGCACCCAGAGCAGTGAACATGAAGCTACAGAAGCCCAAGAAATAGTGCAGGGGCAGAGATCCCCTTTAGTTTGATTACCAGTGAGATTTACAAGTTTTTCCTTTCTTTCATCATGGCACCTGGACCATTTCTCCCCCCCTTCCTCATCATCCAAACCTCCCCTGAGCACTCCCAACTGTGGTCCCCTCTCTTTCTTGTTAGGGTGGTAGATCCCTTGCCCCTTACAGCATGAGTTGTCTAAGAGCAGGATGGTGTAATGGGTCAATCACCTTGACTCGAGACAGGAAAGAGGGGGAGGGTTGTAGTGTGTGTGGGTGCAGGTTGTAAGGTTGGAGGTTGGGTCCTGGGTGCTATTGGATCTATCAAAACCTCAACTAAGACTCACCTATGTCTCTCTTGGACATCAAGGCTGAGAATTAGCAGGAAGTAGAGTTCTAGCAGGTCTAGGATGTTGTAGGGGATGTGGATGGTGTCATATCCGTACAATCCCGACCTCCACTCCGGGCTCCCGGAACTCTGAACCTGACTTCCAGAGTCCTACTTCCCTTCTGCCACCTCCTCCTTGCCAACTTCCAAGAGGTTATCCCACCTCCGGCTCCAACACCACCTTCGGTCCGACTCCAGAACATTCTGGGCCCGACCTCATCCTCGACACCTTCCAGACGAGCACGCAACACCTATGCTCCTGACTCCGGACCTCTGCTCCAGAATCCTGGGTGCGTCTCCGTCTCGGGAACCTCTGGTCTTAGCTCCCACCTCGGACTTAGACCCCACCTCCGCTTATACCCATTGTATTGGTTAGCTCATCCCATTTAATTATGTTTGCCAATATTCCGGAGTTTAACTTCCGAGTTCGGACTTTCCGGACTTACGTCGGACCTTGCAACTATTGCATTGCTCCATTCAATTCCGCTATTCTCCCTCATTCCTATTTGGGCTGCTGCTTCCTTTCTATTCAGTCAGCTGGCCATTCCCGACTCCCATCCTCCTTCCTTCCTCCTTGGGCCTTGGCCCTTCACTCCTCCTTTGGGAAACACCATTGAGTCAAACACTTGACCCTCGGCGTTGTTCCTCCTTCCAGCTCCCTTTGTCTGCTTTCGGAGTACCCTTGCTCCTTTTGATTCCGGACCCCTCTGTCAGAGACCAGATTCGAGACGAAGGAGAGTCTCCATGACGGAGGGCTTTGGCCTCAGCGACTTATGCCAAGAGCACTGTGCCTAGTGACACGTCCGTGCCCTAACTTACTGACTGGCAATCAGAACTGAAGGGGGGTCACTCTAGTTGATTTTATTACTGGAGTGTAACCTATGTACAAGTTGGATATATATATGGTTACAGTGAAGACAGGTCCGCAATTGGCGGAGCCGAACAGAGCAGAGCTAATGGGGTTAAACATTAGCCGACTGAATATTACCGACAAGTCGGGTCGCGGGGTTAGCGGAAAGGCAGGCGATAACCCAGAAACGGAAAGGAGGGATAGGCCCGAAGGTGGGCTCTGCAGGGCAGGCGAGTGTATTGCCCAGCGGAGGCGGGAGTGCGCTAGCGGACGTCGGAGCTGTCCGGAAGTCTTCAGGGCTCCATACTTAGGGAGGCATAGGTAATAAATTGAAATGGGGGTGGTGACCATCGAGGGGTACCGAGAGGATTGCGGAATACAGGAGCTCCGAGGTTAGTGAGGAAGGAGCGGAGTTAGACCGGAGGGATCGGAGGGACCGGAAGTCGATGGCCAGGGATGGATATGACACCCTCCTTATATACAATGTACATAGTAACTTGTAACCTCAGTCCGAAATCGACTTGATTTCCCCCCAAGAGACTTCCCCTCTGCTAGATCCGAAATTAGGGACCCCTGAGACAACCAGCAATGGCACAGCGCTCCGCATGAGTTGCTGAGGCCAAGGTCCTTCCACGCTAAGTCTCTGATTCCACTCCGGAGTCGTCCAAATCCGCCCAATCTAACAGATGGCATCTTTGCCACTTGGATGCAACTAATTTTTCACTCTGGTACCGGTCTATTCAGTACTAACTTGTTATGTACAAGGTTTTTCTCTTTTATGTGAACTAGAAATGAAATAAAAGGAATGGAAAAATGCATATGGCCTGATAGGCAGCCATAAATAAGGAGTGCCCAATCAGGAACAGAGAAATTGTTAGAATGGGGCGGAAACGGACGACTCCGGAGTGGAATCGGAGACTTAGTGTGGAGGGACCTTGGCCTCAGCGACTCAAACGGAGCACTGTGCCATTGCTGTTTGTCCATTTGGTCCTTAATTTCACAGTAGGTGAGCAGGAAGTCTCTTGGGGGCATTTCAGGTCGATTTTGGACTGAAACCAAGACGAGTATGTACAAGCGCCGATATATATAATGGAAGGGGCAAAAGCACAAAGAGAACAAAGGGTGACCGAATCGGAACGAAGACGTCCGAACGGGAACAAAGGGTAGAGGGAGTGGAGCGGTACCGAAGGTCGTAGGGCAAGACCTGTGATACGTCCGAAAGGAGGTAGAGAGGGCGAGGCCCAGAGGGGCAGGAGGATGAGGGGAAGTGGGGATGATGACTAACTGGCTAGAATAGAAGGAAGCAGTAGTCCAAATAGGGATGAAGGGAAAATGCGAGAAATACATTACAGGCGGCGAGAGCGCCGAAGGCGGTCCGCGAAGCCCGGGGGTTGCGGAGCTTATGGAGGTTACAGAGGCGGGGTTGGAAGTCCGAGGAATATTGGCAATGGTGTTTACGTAGTATGAGGTCACCAATGCAATGGACTAAGGCCGAGGTGGAGTCAAAGTCCGAGGTAGGGACTATGACGGAGGCTCGGAGTAAGGTACGAGCGGTGTCCGAGTGCGAAGTACGGAACAACGGTAGAAGGTCGTAACTTGGCGGAAGGGTGGTGGAGGAGTAATGGAGGGAGGAGAGAGTGGCGGAAAGGAGAGTAGTCAGGTCCGAAGGTGAGTATCAGAGCGGACGGGGGAAGCGTAGGAGGTTAACGGGAGGGTGGAGGTGTTGTGAAGGGGGAGCGGAGTAGTAGGAGGAGGTGTGTTGCCAGGACCGAAGGTGAGTATCGGAACGGCAGCGGTAGGTTATGACTCCGGAGGTGAAGAGGGTGGAGGTCCGGAAGTCGGGTCGGGGTCGGGTATGCACGGATATGACAGAAATAATAAATGAAATATGAATGAATGGGGAATTTGTGACAATGGATCAGAAATGGGAATTGTAATCACTGCGCAGCACAATACCTCAATTAGTTAGGTATGAGTAGTGATGGACGGACTTGCCTGCGTGTCAGGGGACAACTCCTGGGTCCCCATGACCCTCCCCTATGGCCCACAGCCTCAAGTCTGGCCAGCCCTATCCAGGGCACAATCCTACTGTGGGTCAGAGATGGTATATAAAAGAGAGGCAAGTATATACAACTTGCCTACTGTGGGTCAGAGATGAGAAGGAAGTTAACTTCTCATCTTCCCACAGTGGCCACAATAGATCAAAAACTTCCGGAGATATCCGGAAGTCACATGAGACCCGAGACCCAAGGTCTGGGCCATCCGGCTGCACTGAGCGTCCAGCACAGGGTGCGCGCAGGAAGTGCAACAGCTGGGTGTGGGTGTGGGTGCGGGTGCAGGTGCGAGTGCAGGTGTGGATGCGGGTATGGGCTAGGTCAGGGTGTATGCCCTGACACTGCGCAGCACGATACCTCAATTAGTGAGGTATCAGCTGCTAGCACAAGTCCGGTCCTTATATACATCTTGTAATGACTCTACACCACTGAGGTGAAACATGAGTGGTAACAACAAGTTGAAAACAAAAGCGTGAAAACAAAGAGTCAAAGAGTTTGCCACCATTCGTGCCTCAAAGTGCCCCTCCCCTTCCCAAAGCGTGAATGTCCGGCCCGGGTGACTCCCTTGACCACCAGTGGCATTGGACTGCAACTTCTAACAGGAATTTCAGAAGTTAACTCCACAACACTTCCCTACAGTGCTCTCCTATCCTCTCATCAGCAATCTTTCCAACGAACCCTTATTTGTCCCAATTGATACAGTAGTTCCTGAGATATGGCCATTGACAGGTGCTGTCAAAAACCCGGATCATAGGGGTAAATGCGTGAGTCTGAATGCAGGCAGGGCTCAACTAGAGGGGGATCCGAGAGCTCCGGTGGTGGACCAAAGCTTCTCCAGGAAGCCCGGTTTTGTTGGATGGTACAAGAGGCTCTAAGAAGGACGCGGCCTCAGCAACTCGGAGGGAGCGCTGTGCCTCCATTACGTCTCAGTTAGTCCTTGTATTTCTTATGTCTGAGGTGTCTTGTAGAACGGAACAGGATTCACTCAGAGGGACTTTGGGTAGCATTTTAGTCGAGATTAGAACTGAGGAACTACAGGTTCTAATCTACGGGTATTTATAAAGGGAAATGGAATGGGCTTAGTCAAAGTCCAAATGACAATGGGACAACACCGAAAGGTGCCGAATGATACCGAGAGGTACCGAAAGGTCCCGAACGATATCTTTAACGGGGAACCGAGGTGTCGGACCATGGAGGGCGGAGTAAGAGGCCGGAAAATGAATGGGAACGAGATAAGTGATGACGTGAGTGAGATCACCGAAGGATGCAGGTAGCTCCGAAAGCGGAGTTGCATATCCGAAGGATGTTGGGTGACTCAAATAAATGAAATGGGTGGAGGAATGGTTTAAGGGTGTGTCACGGGAAGTCGGAGGTCCGTCGGGATATCGGAGCAAATCCGGAGTCTCTGAATGTTCTGACTCAGGACCGAGCTTCCGGGATGGGAGTGGCCAAGGTTCGGTGTGCTGCAACCAGACCGGAGCTGAGACAGTCAGGAGGGAAGGTGACTTGGGGAGTGGGGAGGCGTGGTGTAGGGGATGGTGAAGTTGTTAGGAAGGTGTGATGTGGTGGGAGTGCGTGGGGTCGGGATTCCGGGATATGACAGGTGCTGTCAAGGCCATGTGAGGTTCTACACCATGTTGAACCATCCAAATATGGGATGTTCCATTCTGGGCAATGCACCATGGGTAAAGGGGGAAGGTTGGGCATCACCATTGCACAGGAAAATGGCTGGATTAAATGTGCAGTTGTGGATGTCTGGGGAAGGGGTGAAGTTGGCAGTGTGGTGTCAGGGACACATCCAGGGTGGAGGGGGCCCGGATGTAATGCCCGGCAGAAGGACCCTCTTGGGGAGCGAAGCGGGCATGCATGCTGATGGGCCCGATGTGGGACTGCAGTCCCTGGCCACTTAGACTGAAGTGGAAAATGTGAGAAGAAGGTTACTTCTTCAGTTCCCACTTCAGGTACATTTATGTACATGCGGCTTGGGTCACATGATGGGTGCCATGTCATCCTTGGAGAGAGCTGCAGCCATCCAGGTGTCCCTGTGGGGGATCCTGAGAGCGTCCGCTGCAGGCGCACGTGCTGTCAAAGTCGGGATTGTTGTCAGAGTCGGGCAGACTGTCAGAAGATGGACTGAAGATGGATTGGGTTTCTGTCTGAGTTGGGGTTGGAGATTGTGGCAGAGGTCTGTTGGAGCATGCACATGTGGATATGCGGGTGGAAATGTGCAGTGCATCCGGAAGTGCTGTTCAAGGTTAGCAGAGTGGGATCATGGCCTCAGCGACTCAGGTGGAGTGCTGTGCCCTGAGCTTGACATTTGGGGGAGATCCCGTATTTACAGACTGACACTTACAGCGGACTTCAAACAAGACTTGCAGGCAGAGTGGACCTGTAGGAGGAGTGCAGACTCCGCAAGCACGGACTCAGAAGGGGGGAAGCCCCTTTGCAGAAGGAGGGACTCAGACCAGACAGGGGGGGTACTCTAGTTGATTTCAGACTGAGGTCCCCGAAAGTATTTACAAGGTATAAGTAGGTAAGAGAAATCAAAAGAGGGACTGGTGAAGGAGGAAAACAGAAATCCTATAAAAGGCTGTTCTTTCTTCTGATACTTATATGTTAGTATTGGTACTTTAACTCAACCACTGTAGCGTTTTGGTTGCTTTGTGTATTGATATTTGTATGTGTTACTAATTGTTTGTGTGTGTATGTAACTCTCAGGGTTCAATTCACTTGTCTACCTGATTGTTCCACATGAAAATCGCGCTATAGACCTACTATTTTTAGTTGTTTCACCTCTGTCTTGTCACTTTTAACTCGGAGCGACTCCAACTGACTTGACTCAATGTCACTATTTCTTAACTTCTTCTTAACTTTTTACTGAGGGTTGATCACTTTTACTCAGATGTGATCTGAACTGCACACTTATACTAATAAAACTTAATTTTTATTAGGACACCTTATGACCTATGAACCAGAGCACATAGGGGAGAGGAGTAATGTTAGAACGGGCGGATTTGGACGACTCCGGAGTGGAATCGGAGACTTAGCATGGAAGGACCTTGGCCTCAGTGACTCAAGTGGAGTGCTGTGCCATTTGTGGTTGTCCTAGGGGTCCCTAATTTCAGATCTAGCAGAGGGAAAGTCTCTTGGGGGGAATTCAGGTCGATTTCGGACTGAGGTTACAAGTTACTAGGTACATTGTATATAAGGAGGGGTCCGGAATCAAAAGGAACAAGGGTAGGACAAAAGGAGACAAAGGGAGATGGAAAGAGGAACAACACCGAGGGTCAAGTGTTTGACTCAATGGTGTTTCCCAAAGGAGGAATGAAGGGCCAAGGCCCAAGAAGGAAGGAAGGAGGATGGGAGTCGGGAATGGCTAGCTGACTGAATAGAAAGGAAGCAGCAGCTCAAATAGGAATGAGGGAGAATAGCGGAATTGAAATGGACAATGCAATAGTTGCAAGGTCCGGAGTAAGTCCAGAAAGTCCGAACTCGGAGGTTAAACTCCGGAATATTGGCAAAGGTAATTAAATGGAATGAGCTAACCAATACAATGGGTATAAGCGGAGGTGGGGTCAAAGTCCGAGGTCGGAGCTAAGACCGGAGGTTCCGGAGACGAGACGTGAACGGGATACCGGAGCGGAGGTCCGGAGTCGGGAGCATAGGTTTTGCGTACTCGTCTGGAAGGTGTCGAGGTTGGGGTCGGAGTCGGACCGAAGGTGGTGTCCGAGCCGGAGGTGGGATAACCTCTTGGGAGTCGGCAAGGTGGAAGGTGACGGAAGGGAAGTAGGGGTTCGGAAGTCGGAGTTCAGAGTTCCGGGAGCCCGGAGTGGAGGTCGGGATTGTATGGATATGACAAGTAAAGAAGGAAGAGGGGTCAGACCAGAAAATGCGGTCTTTTATACCTTTCCTAAGGGCTCTGTTTTCACATGTCACTTTACTATTTACATTGCTGAGTAATCTTATATTGAGCTTAGTAATCCTCTTATGTAAGCGATCAGCATCCCATTCTGCTTCTAGAACTTTCTGGAAGTTTTGGTGTGGGAATTAGCCGATTGCATTGCCTAACACCCATCATGACCTTATTTACCCTTGTTTACTCACTTTATTCTAAGTCACATGTCATGGGGTTATTTGTTAGCTTAAGGGTGTAGCTTTCTGTCGGTATAAACAACAGTAAACTATGAGGATTATTCATGAAGGTATGAATTTCTCAAGATTTAATTTTGAGGTTCTCCAGACTGCTTTGGCATTAGCTCATCCATTTTCCTACAATTAATTCTGGATAAATTATGCCATGTTCCTGGACTCGAACTCTTTAGTTTCGCATTTCTAGCTCATCCGTTTCTACCACAAACTCAGGATGTGTGAGCCAGTCTTCTCTGCAAGTGTGTTTTAATCTTGTTGAATCTGTTTCTCTCTCAATTCTTCAGATTTCAACATGAAATCTTTTTGTACACAGGCCTATACTCTAACTTTTTAAGACTGTCAAAGATTCATATTTTCCCCTATTTTCCTCGTATAAATATTTCCAATTCTTTCATCTTTTCCTCGTACCCAACCATTTTTCATTATGTGAATCCCTTGATTTTCTTCCGATTTCTCTTTGTCATTCGTTTCGTACGTTCGTGAGACTGTTTTCCCACGTTACCACGAATTTCTAATATTTTATTTGACACAGGAAACCTTGTTTTTGTTTTCAGGTGGGTTTATTTGCTGTTTTTCTTCATTTTCTGGACCACCTTTTAATCCCTAGACTTGAAAGTTCGCGTAGATACTCAATTTATTGACTCTGTTCTTCACTATTTTTCCGATATTTTATTTCAATTCATTTTGTTGAGTTATGATTTTATTCCTATTTTTATTTCTGGTCTGTGGAGGTTGTATGATTTTTATCCAATTTTCTGTGATGGTTTCTGGTTGTTTTAGTGTTGTAACTTTTATATTCCTACACCGGTTGGTCTGGTGTGGAAATAAGCGGAAATGAGCAGGGACTTGTCAAACTAAACCAAGGACAAGAACCCGGGAAATGGGAGGCAAGGAATGAATAAAGTCAAAGCGGATCAAGTACCAATATTGACAGATTAAATGAATGAATAGGAAAGTGCAATAGCACACAGATCAAATGCCAATATTGGGGTGAACATAATAGGCACTCAGCAAGGAATGAATGTGATGTTGCCGAGTGACAAAAATGGCCAGAGGACAAAAGCGGAGGTCAGCACTGTAGGAGAAATAATGGACACACTATGGAAACCCATTATGGAAATATGCCAGATAATTCACAAAACCCCATATGACAAGTAGATATGAGAAAATAGAAGGACCTGAACTTTAGTGAATTTTAACGAATTTTTTGCGAATTATTATGATTATACGTGATAAATTGAAAGAAAGAAAATTAGCAGAAATACTTCAAGCTTAGCATCAACAAGACGGAATTCTTGGGGGAATTTATAGCAAATATTAAACAAAGAATTAGGACAATCGACCAAGATTTGACTATAAAAACAATCAGAGAACCTCCACAGAAACTACTTTCCCATGTCTGCACATGTAGCCAAGGATGGAAGTACCGTGGAACAAGGATTCCTCAGGAACTAATGCAAAATTCAAAGTCGTGTTTATAATAGGAAATGTAGATGTCCCCCAAACGGACCCAATGAAAGTAATTACAGGGAAAACTACCCATAAACAACGGAGATATGACTAAAACTCCTGCAAAACGAGGACAACGCTTAAAAAGCAAGTGCAAAGAATAACCAGTAACGACCGAGACAAGCTTGATAGCCCATTAGAAAGGAAGGGATATAATCTTAATCCACCCAAATTTTCATAATAAAAGGATCATGCATTAATGAGATATCCAATAACAGGAATAGCGACATCAAAAGTCCGAGCTCAGGGAAAAGACAATGTTTACGTAGGATCCATAATTAAAACATACAACGAAATTTACACGGAAATTATGAAAAATAGGAAACTATAGTTATGCAAATTTTCAGCCCAAACGGTCCAGCCGTTGTAAAGTTATACCAATGATGGGAATATAGAAATCTGCATCATGTTTAATGACATGTGAGGGTGGCAATGCGAAGGGAACCGGCCATTGGAACCGAGATCCGCACTTTGGCAGATCGCGAAGACCAATTTCCATCCAAATAAGGAAGAGCCCGGTCAAAACAAAGCACGGAAAGTGCAAAACAACCTTAGATCATGAGGGAAAAATCTGAAATAAATCACAGAAGCCCATATGAAGGATATAAACACCCGCGCATACCATAAATCCCGAACAATTAAACAGAAACAGCGCCCGCATATGAACGACTATGGGAACGATGCACATGATTACCGAATGTGTGTGCGAACTTTTGCTAACTCGACGAATACCAGGAAATAGAACACAACTTTAGTACCATTGGAAAGGTGGGAATAAATAAAAATTTATAATACCAAGAACGTGAGAAACCATGCAGAAATGAATGAGATACAAGGACATGAAGTTAGAAACCTGAAAATGCATGGGAAAACAGCTTCAAGAGGTCCAGAGCCCTAAATAAAATATGATATCTTCGAGGACGACCTACTATAACAACAAACAATACATATGGAGGATTAGGATGTGATAATACAAAGGGGAATCAGGGAAGATGAATGAAATCCACGAATACCACTAAACTATG